TCACTGACGTGTCCGCAAAAATGAACGGGTCACTGAAATTAATGCTTCATTGAGATATCTGAGGATCCATGTCAAAACCCTCTTACCTATTCTACTCTACCTAAAATACGCTGCAAGCAATCTTCCAGCAAGCAGAGGGGACAAATACTAAAGATTACAGTAAGAGCATTTTTGCGGACACGTCAGTGATTCTTCAAAATTTAGCTGAGTCAAATAAAAAGGCTTCTGCAAGGGCTTTTCATATAAAAATGTCGCAATTGTTGCATCACTCATTGAAGGAGGAGACTATTCTTAAGAAAAATACTGGACTTTAGCCAGCCGATTGAGTATTTTTTTTCTTGCTCTCTTAAAAGCGTTTGTAGGACCTGAATCGAAAAATATTGGACTTTGTGCGATAAAATATTTCATATTGTTTTGGAGCACATAGAAGGCTCATAGATCAATCCATACCTCCCGACTATTTTTTATTTTACTTTAGATAAAAATGCAAATAGGTGAGGAGAGGCTCCTGCAAGGGCTAAACATACTTACACGTCATGACTGTTGCATCACTCCTAAATGAAGGGGCCTACATTTCCTTTTAGAAGTATAATGCCTACTTGAAGATACATGCAGCTCAGCAAGGGAATTTACTGAGTCTCTGAGAAAACTTTTCTGCAAATACACGAGTCATGATTATTGAATTAGTTACGTAGCTCTAAATTTTAAAGAAAAAATATTCGACTTTGTGCGATAAAATATTTCATATTGTTTTAGAGCACATATAAGGCTCAGATCAGTCCATACTTTTCTTTTTGATTTTATGAAGATTCTGAATAAAAAATGCATAAGTTAAATAAAGAAAGAGGACGTTATGTGCTCCTTCAAGGACTTTCCATTCACGAATATGTAGCGTTTGTTGCAAAAAGCGAACCGCTTGGGCTCCCACAAGAGGTCCACATACACACATGTAGTGAATGTTGTATCGCTCGTTTATGAAGGGGCCCACATTCGATTTTCAGTAAAGTATAGGTAATTTTTAATTTTCTTTTAGGAGTAATAAGAAAATTTGGTTCAACAAGTTTAAGACTTTGGCCGGATTCTTTACCCCTTAGAATCTGAAAGTTTTTTGGGGTTTTTTGTAGTTTTTATATCAGGTCGTTTTTGGAATGATGTGAAGCTAATGAAACATTTGGCTGGAAAAAGAGAAACTGAGAATAATTTTTTCAATGAGCAGAACTGGAACTCCTTGTTTGATCAACTAAACATTTATAGGGGGTGATTCAGTTTGCAATCAATAAAAGTTACCTGATGTTTTGGTGAGTTTAAACTTCTCTCATCGAAATAGGGTACATAATGTTTTAAAAACTGATGGATTAGCAATTAATTGTCATAGTGTAGGGCTACTTAGAATGAACTTCTTTTGCCGCATAAATTATTCCTTACTCATAAAGTTTCAACATTAATTCTGCAATTTTTACTGCGTTTAACTCAACTGTTGGACATAGGTACTTACATTCAGCCACTAAAATTTTAAATTAAATAACAGTGAGACCACTAAGTGGAAAGTCCATTCAAAGAGTTAAAATTATTTTTTTTTGGTTCACTCATTATAAAAAGTATTTCCTGTAAGAGGTATTTAATTTATCAATAAAAGTGTGCGTCAAGCCAAGCCCCTTCGGCCACAAAAGTATTTTTTCTTTTAACAGAGTATAACGTCTAGGAATGTGACTTGAAACATGAAGATAAGAAAATTGTACTTATACCTATTATGCACTCCGTTGAACTTGAGCGATTCAGGTAATAATCAACTGAATTTCAACCTCAAGTTACAATGGCCTCAGTCAGAAAATTAATTGAAAAAGAGAAAAACTTGCTGCAAATATTACACTGTAAGCTTACCCACCGGGGGGGCTACCGCCACTCTTGATACAGTATGCCTATATTGACGCTATAGCGGAGAATATTTTGATTTATTTTGCTTAGAGTCGCTTCACCACATAATTTGTCGAATTGTATAACTGGCATGTAAGTAAGCATTTAAATTTGAATGGCGTCTTTTGATTCATGAAAGATAATGAAGGCTACCTCTCAGTTACCTGGTAGTTCAAGAATTCCTAGTAATTTTGTTGTCTACTGTCGGACTAAAAACACCACCCCCAAACTCTTCATCAGAGCATGTTCCGCAGTTGGTGCCTAGGCGCAAACTTTTTGATCATAAACGCTATCGATTGGTCTAATCTTTTTTGGCTTTGATTCACCCGATTACATTTATTCCATTAAGAACTAGGTAGGCACGCGAACCATACATAGACCCAACGCTCAATTAATTTCAGAGTGCACTGTTTCACTGGAGTAATTATGCTAGAAACTCACTAGGTGAAGATGGAATACTTCTGTGACACAACAACCAACAACACCACAATATTTTCACATCAAGAGTGGCGTTAGCCACCCCCGTTCGAGGAAAATGACGACCTACTAAAGTCCCTATAACAAAGGGGTGGCCGACACTCTTAGTCACACCTTCAACTCACTTCATCTGAAAATTGATTCGATATAGAATGGAATTCAGAGCAAACGGTGGCACAGATTCCAACGATCTTGGTGTCTATGGACGTAGCTAAGTTGGCCGGATGGCATTTAAGGGTTTATTATCTAACAGTCGGTAGCTGCACCACCAGTGTAAGTCCATAACATAACCTCACTATTTGATGTGTTTACATCAAGTTTTCATATAGGGCTTTTTTTTTATCGCGGATCAGGGTGGATCTCGGTGGAATGCACTGGATCGGAATCCTGAGCGATTCGAACCAATCCAAGTGTTCCAAGCGATAAAAAAATCCAAACTTGGAATTTGGTTCGATTTGTTATTGTTTTGATTTTTTGGGGACGGCAACTTCCTCGCATTAGATTAGGATCACAGTGGATCGCGAGCTCCCCCCACCTCGGAAGAGCCATCCAGCGTTCCACCCTGATCCACCTGGAACGCTTGGATCACGCTGAGGAACAGAATAAAAAAATACCGATGTTCATCGCGATCCACCGCGTTCCACTGCGATCCGCATAAAAAAAAGCCCTTATGTTAAAATAGAGACGGAATGGGCGCTACGTAATTACTTGGCCCAGCGATTTATGCAGGAATGTAAATTCTTGATTTTATAGTAATCATCAAGCTGAGAAAATAAAACGAGTACATACCTTTCATGAAAGACTTTGTTACACATTGACTGGCCACATGGTGTTTCTAACAACTTCTGACGCAAAATCAAAGAGACTCGAAGAAAACCAAATTTGAGCTAATACTCATCGTCAAAGATCTCTGATTTAGGGACATAAAGTTGACTTAGTGATTGAATTATACCTCGCATCCCCGCATATGCCGATGATGTAAACCAGCAACGGTAAGAGGCGAAAGCTTTCCAAGATTAGTCATGAAGAACACAAGATCTTAATGTCAATAACATACACTTAGGAGAAGCACAAGCACTCCAGAGCACGTAGGTTGAAAGCAAAATTTAAAGCGAATAAATTTTGGTCAGAGCATTGTGACCGTGTCGCAAGTAGCAACGCAAGTAGTGTGATGGGGGAAGGCTCATATTACAGTAATTTTTAGATCTTTTCTTGAGACTGATAGGGTCCACTGAAAACAACTACATCTCATCAAGATATGGAAACTAGCATTCGTGACTTGAGGAAATAATAATGTAATTAAAAACTGAGAGTAATGGGCTCTCCCTTCGATCCATTGGTGTGCACGGTAGGGAAATATTTGGATGCTGTTAGTCACGGGAATGCAAACTGTGGTGTAAATCCTGCTTCCTTTTGATAGTTTGGCACAACTTTGTTGTCCTATTATCGACGTAATTTACCTGAATCACATTTATTGATGCTTGGGTCAGACATACACACCGACTGATAACCTCACTTCTGAACAAAGACATCACTTGAACATTTTAAGAGAAACTAATGAAATAGTGTATCGGACTCTGGCAGAAGACGTGGGACGTAATAATATAAGTGTGTAAAAATATTAGTTAGCTTCTACAGAGAATTGAACTCTTATATTACATTAAATCATAAATCTGTTCTCAAGTAGATAGAGTTGGAAGTTGGTATTGGTAACTAGGGAAATTTCGTTCCCGAGACTGGCTAAACTGAACGGAATCGACCAATGGCATTGAACCACTATACCGGATTTTTCTAAAATTCAAAATATTGTAGCTAAAATTTTGAAAGTTATTTGCCGATGCTGAATTATCCGAGCATTGAAACCCTATTAAATGTGGTAGAAATGAAATCCTCATATCTTCAAGCATGATCCTTTGTAGGTTTCATTAGAATCTGTGGCCGCGTAAGCAAGAAATCTGTTGTGAAAGGTGATCATGTCGGTTTCCCGCTACTGAACGGCCCATGTTACAAAAAATATTTGTCATTTTGGGCCTTTAAGTGCTTATAACTTTTTGAAAACTCAATGGATCTGGATGAAACTTTCCAACTTAGTAGGCCCAATTTAGATGCGTCAGTAGACACCAAGATCGTTGGAATCCGTGCCGTCGTTTGGGCTGCAGTCTACTTGAAGTCGAATCAATTTTCAGAATAAGGGAGTTACGTGTGTCTATGGTTGGCTGCCACCTTTTTTCGTTTGGAGGCTTTCCAGTGTTGTCGAGTTTAGACTTTGTCCGGAGGTGGCTACCGCCACCCATGAAATGCTGAATTATCCACTACAGTAGTTACTTCAGCAATGCCAAGATGTAAAACTAACTGCTGTGGCGGAAAATTCAGTATGTTATGACTTCTCGCACACTTTTTTACATTCAGAATGTTAAAGCAATTCCACTTTTTTCGGTGTGGTATAATATGGGTTCAATTTTAAGTTGAAAGAGACGAAAATAATTAATATAAATATTCTGCAATTAAGCCTCAAAATTTATAAATGTGAAAGAGACACTAATAACTCAATCGAACGTACCTAGATCAATCAAACGATGGCGGTGTAGACAAGATTGAAGACACAGATATTTTATGCAAACATTTATTCAATACTCGGTACATTCTCACTTGCAAATAAATAACAACGGAAATAAATAACTCTGTATGAGGATCACATTCGGAAAAGGGAACAACGACAGTCTCGGAAGCACTCACGAGGAGAGAACGAGCGATCCCGGCTTTCTAAACTCGAAGAAAATAATCGCCGGGAACCGGTGCTTCTCCCGGTAAATCTTTCGGTATCACACGACATTGAAGGCGTCTCGATCTAGAACCCTTAGACTCTGCGAAGGATCCTGACGAGGGGGCCGGGGACGTTGGTGTAGGAGTAGACGGGCGCGGAGATCGGCTCGACGTCCTTGTACTGGACATTGGAGACGGCGCCTTTGAATTGCTGCTGCTGCTTGGCGCTCCTCTGATTGTACTGCTGGTTGTATTGCTGGTTGTATTGTTGGTTGTATTGCTGAGCTTTTTGGGCGAACTCCGACTGGGGCTGCTCCGCGGTGAAGTATTCAACCTTCTGGAGTTTACCCTCGGGTGAGAGGATGTAGTACTGTCCGAACTCGACCTCTTTCTCCTTGGGGGCGGGTGCCGGGGTGGCGATCACTTCGACTTCTTGTCTGGCGTTCGTGGGTTCCTCAGTGGCCGGTGCGTAGGCGTAGATAGGGGCGGGGAACTGGGGGGCACTGGGGGCGGCGAACTGGGGGGCTGTGTAGGCGGCGGACGCGGCCGGCTGCCTGAGGGGTAGCAGGAAGGCTTTGGCGGGTTTGGCGCCGGAGGGTGGGTAAGGCGCCTTGTCGCAGGCGGCCAGAGCGACGAACGCGGACAGAACAATGGTGAGAGTGTACATGGTTGTTTGGTTGGGAGAACTGTGAGTACTGAGTGATTTGCTTTTGGGCCGGTGGGCTTATATAGGGGGCCCAGAGGTGTCCTTTGGGTTGGGGCACGTCCCGCGACGTGTCCAACATTGACCCGCTCCCTGCGCCCCGTGCCAAAAAGCGCGCTCGACTTTTGGTCAAGACCGTGAGAGAATATGGATTGTGAATATCAATGCGCCGCCGCTCGTCTTCTTTGACACTTTTAATTAAGTGGCTACTCGCGGTCTCTCTATGAATTTTTAACTTCGGTTAGTTTTGTTTCTGCACCGTGCTGCCCTGTTAAGAAGAAGTACTGTACTCGTGAAAATTTAAAATCCTCCCAATTCTAATCAAATCATGTTTAAGACACTCGATGGACGGGGTGAGGAAGGAGATTAAGACGGTCGATGGGCTGGAGTTCAAAGTTTGTAAGTGGGAAAATTCTAATAAAATCATTTTCAAGACGCTCAATGGATGGGGTGAGGAAGGAGAGCGTAGCGGCCATATGGGACAGAGCCCCCTATAGCAAATAGCATAGGTGGTATATCAAATTTAATCGCTCCAAATCATCTATTCGGTACAAGTTATAAGGCACCAGGAAGAAGATTCAAGATTCAACATTAGTTTGGGGCGAGGAAATGATACGCACATTTCGGGAGTCATGGGAAACAGAATATTGAATTCTCAGGTGCTCGAGGACGGAAGATACATAATTTATAGAGGAAATGAAGGAGGGATCTGTAAATTTTCCATTTTTTTTAGTCATAAAAAATTTACATTTTTCTGAAATTTTCATTTGTTTCGTTATTCGCATGTAAATTTCCAAAAATTATTCCCAAAGTAATTCGTCGTTCCTAATATAGAATCGATGAAAATGTCAGGTTTTTCCTAATAACTGAGAGCTAACAACAAGCTTTTAAAGTGTTCCCTGTTTGCATGTTAGTCTTAGCTTCTCTATGAGCTTTGGAATATTGTCCAAAACGTTTACGCTTTTCCGCACTCAGGTATTGTTTTTTTTATGGTCCTACAGATTAATTGTAAAACACTACCGTCAAAAAATGTATTCATCGCGTCTGGCACGCACAAATTGCTATCGTCCAACTTTCTCGACTTATCCATATTAATGGTATAAGTGTGTTTTCCTTACACCAGGGGTACCCCTGGCAAATGTTTGTATTATTTATGACTTGCATTTTAAGGTTTTTGTGTCAGGAAAAGAGGTACAGGGAAAAAAAGAAAAAAAAAATTGCAACCAACTCTCGCATTCAGATTAACGTTAAATCAGCATAACGATGTTGAGTGGTTCTCTAAATCTACGAGTCTACGACAAAGGACGTCTTGGCAGCACTCGGAGTGGCCGAGGGGTACTTATCAGTTGATACTCATAAATAAGTACTTTTCTACAGCTATGAGCAAGTAAAAACTCCTAGAATTTTAAATAAATTGTGACTGAGACCAGGAGAGTTGTGTGTTTTGTCCAAAAGTGATCGTTTTGAAAGTTCGAACTTTGGGGTGTTTTAAAGTTGGTTTTTTGAGGATTTCCGTTGGTCTAATTAAGAACTAAGACAATTTTCTGTAACATTAGGAGCCTTAGTTCCTTCAATAAAAGCAATAAAAAAAATTCTAGCATAAGCCCATCACATAATTATCCAAAAAAAGTTGCAATTTGATTTTTTGCTCCATTTCTTTTTCCATCAGTAAGCTTACGTGGCTTCGTATTACCATGCTGACGGAATACTCAACCAGGAAAGAACCAGTGGCGTGGCGTGCTATGCGATATATCGATTGATCTGCCACTTAAACCTATGGAAAAGTATCGACAAACAAGGTGTTCGCAATAAACACCTTAACAATCGATTCTTTACCATAGCTTCAAATGGGATAGTATCGATAGTCGATTATCACGCCTCGCCACTGGAACCAAGTCACAATTTGGTTGAAAATGAGTTGAAAGTAGTTTAAGCATAACCAGCCATACTAGCCTCACCTTTTTTCCTGTCGAAAATGCTAAGGCAGGTAAAAATATTTTAAATGTGAAATTGGGCATTGGACATTATCTTCAACCTTGAGTCTAACAGGGAAATACAATTTTAAACCTCTTTTTCTCAGTTCTTCCTATTTACATCATTTGCTGCTTGCATTGAAACCATTTTTTCTTGAGATATTATTTCAACTTAAGGCATCGTTTTTTGTCGACAAAATTTGGGTTTTTTTAAAAGTTAAATTTAACTTAAGTGGATTTAACTTAAAGTCAGTTTTTTTTTTAATTAAAGAAACGTTGTTATGTTATCTTTTTTTTTTTATTTAATACCCACCGATGACAAAATGACGCTTTTTTCAACTGAAATAATTCTGACGTTAAATTAAATCCGTACGGGGGAAAAATGACTAGGAACGACGCTTTAAGTCAAAATAATATCTTAAGAAAACATTACTTCAGTGTGTGCGTGTACATGATGAGTTTGTGATCGAGTGAGAATGTCACTCCGGTCGATCCGATAGCCGACACCCTGTTCGCCAGTATTACTCAGTATTCGGAGTTACTTTGTATACTTACTATTAACTTAACGTTGATTCCTTTTCACTTATCTGAAAGTGTTGTGAGAAACAATCCAGTTGTTCGAAAACATATAGAAAATCAAGAATCGATTGACTTTAACTGCGAAAATAATTTCGCTCTTGGAGATAGTGATGGTTAACTCGAAGAACCCGATCCCGACGTTTCAACGCAGGAGGAAATCAGAAAGCGCGAAGAAGGACGGAAAACAATTTTTCACCGGACGAAGACGGGCGAGTGAGGTGCGAGGGAATATTCTAATAACCTCGCCGGACGATTCAAGTTTAAAGATGCGTTGTTTACATTCATAACATTATCATTTTCCATGAATATGTTTGGCGCTTGTCACCGGAGCCACCCCCGGCCCGGAGCGAAGGGGGTGGGGTCGGAGTGGCGGGCGGGGGACGATAAGAGCGGAAGTTTTTCGGAGGATATTTTCAAGGCACTTAATGGAAGGCAGGAGCCGCGGCGAGGGCTGCATCTCACGGAATTGGATTTCGCAAATGACAACTGGCCGGACCGGGGCGAGGCGCGGCCGGAAAGCGAAAACAAAATAAGGGAAAAAACACGGGGGGAAGTAAAAGTTGTCCGCGTAAAAGATACTGTTTTCACTTTTCAAGGTTTATAATATAGAAATATATTGAGTCGAGGAGTTTTAAGCTCGGAGGGGGCGAAGTTATTTTAGTGAAAAGTTAAAGGGGTAGATGACAGAGGGCCGAGCCGAGGGCGAGGGTGGCGGAGGGAGGAAAGGACCCCAGGGGCTAAGACTAAAGGAGAGTAAGATGAGCGGCAAGGGGGTGGGTGGTGGCCGTGCGGTGGCGAGGCTTTCGGAGGGGCGCCCG